AAAATCGGATTTGATCAAAAAATCTGAATTGAGCATCAAGACCTGCAGAGTGAACGTAGCCTTTGTCACCATCTTCAGTCTCCTCTGAAAGTGCAGCAAACGTCTTGTCAAGTTAACTATTTTAGTTAAAACATCAACAATATGGTTGATTTTTAGCACACACCGATTTCAGTTCTGGGTTGATTTCAGTCACTTTTATCTGGACATCACCTCTGTGAACAAACCAGTCCTGCTGTTGTCTGTTTCACTGAGCCAATCTAAAACTGTCATTATCCAATATTTAAAGATGAGTAACTGGGCTGTGTTGTAGACATCAGAGGTCTCGTCCAGAACCAAAATGATCGCATTTGTGTTTCACCTGGAGCTCCAGATGTCCTGCAGTGTCCTCAGTGTGTTTTGTTACCGTTCGCCTGGCGAGGGCCACACTCTCATTCTTTAGCCTGACAGACTCGACCAGACGCTCTTTGATAAACTCCTCATCAGAGGATGGTGAGATGTTTTTTGTGATTCTGTGGGAAATCACAAAGCCGACTGTGACGGCTCCCAGGATGTGTAAAGCACAACCGTTCCTGCTCTGCATTAGGCAAGCTCTAACTGATCACACACGAATCCGACTTTAATAAATTAATACTTCATCAAGCTGCATTCTCTTGCACATGCACTCAGAAATAAAACAATAAAAATAGGAGTCACTTTAAAAATAAAAGAAACAAAAGTTGTGTTGTGATTTCCCACAAAATAAAAAAACACAGAAAGACAGTTTCTTATGGGGAGTTTGCCAAAGATGTTCGGTGTTCGGTGGCTGAAATGAGACAAATAGCATGATGTGCGCTGATCCCTCCTGAAGGCAGCGTAGCTTTGTAACAGACACACTCGTGTTTCTGCTGCGTACATATGAACGGCTGTGCCTCGTATACCATGGCTGCATTGGACATGTATGGATCATGTCTAGCCTCCAGGCAGCAAACTGGGTTAAAGGTCAAATTTTCAGGTCAGTAACCAGCCGCCTGTGCGTTTTATTGCTATGTCAGCTACATAATAACATTTTTGCAAATCTAAGTTGCAGTTTGACTGTTTTTAATACGTACAAGCTCCAGGCAACAGTAAATACTAAAAGCTCTCTCAGGATTTTAGTGTGTTGTGCCACGAGCAGCGCTGCCTCCACCCCTGCACCACTCACATGATTTCATATGTGAAGTTATAAACTGTGTGTGTGTGTAAGGCCGACCATATTTATGTGTTAGTGTTAATGACATCATAACACAGGATGTTGTTGCCCAGGCACTTATTGCTGGCTCAGCTATGTAGTTTGGCTGCGCTGTGACCTTTGACCCCCAGCGAGTGCTTGGCACCACCTTCCTGAGTCATTACATTCACGCTGAGCCTGTTTTACCTGTGAACCCATCCACTCCCGCCTCCCTCCATTACTAATCAGTTAGACGTTAGAGTAATTAGATTATATCTGATGGGCCCAAAACAGCTGTGCG